GGAGCAACATGAGACAGGACTTTACCAACAACACTAGTATCTGATAAAAAACCCCATGCTGAACGCAACTTATTTTAAACGGATACAGACACAGCCCTGTGCCTCATCACACAAACAAATGTGTGGAAATATTCAAGATGTTAGTAGTGGTTTACTATGTGAGAAACAACTTCAAATAGCTGTTTTAGCTTGAGTCAAAAACACACTGCAAGTTTTACATCTGTTGTGTATTTCGAAATGAAATAAGCTTTCTATTTATGTGAACTGGCATTTAATGTCTTGAAGACTTCAAATAAAATGTATAGTCATGTAAATACATTTTTCAGATATACAGGGAATCTTATTTCCATAATTTAAATGGGCTTGGTCTATAAATGCCGTCTTGCCCTTTCTCAAATAATGTGTTTGCCTTTCAGTGTCAAGTTTAGAGAAGGAGCTGCATTACCCCAACAAAGGTAACACACCTAAAAGCCAAAACAAAAACACTGACTATTCTGTCGGTCACCTGAAGGAAATCGTTTTGAGAGCCCTCTCTGCCACAGCTCGGGCCTGCTCGATCTGTGTGGCCTGCAGATGGTGAGCCATGTACTGGAGCCAGAGCAGCGAGCTGTTGGGTGAGGCCAGGAGCAGGCGCTCAAAGGCGGCTGCATCTTGGGGACACAGGTTTGGATCCATGAGCTCAGCTTCCCGCTGCACCAGGGCCTTCTCAGCTGCCTTCTTCTCCTGCTCTAGCTCATGGCGAGACTTCCTCTGAGGCTGGTAGACAAGAGTGATAAGATGAATGGTGAGTCTGAGGCATAAAATGGTAACATACAGAGATGGAATCAGGAAGACATCAAACACAAAGAGCTGAGCATTCGGCATCTCCTTAACATTAACAGCTCATTAGTTCACCTGACAGGTTCCATCTTGGTCCTCTCTGTCACTGGAGTCGCCCTCCTGAGCTGCAGAGGCAGGTTTCAGGGAGCTCAGGCCCACGTCCCAGGAGAAACCTGCTGCCACCTGCAGTCTGGATGGACCCTCCGAACTGGGTGTCCCCTGCTGAAAGAGAAGAGGAGCAAACACATTTTTCAGGTCCTGGGTGATGATCTTACTGCTCCTAATCTATGAAGATATGTAGGAGAAATGAGCAGCTGCTTACTTCTGCGGGATCAGGTTTGGGTTCTTCATCTGCCTCTTCTCTGAAGTACACCTCCACTCCACTGTCACTGTCATCAGTCTTTGTTTTCTTCTTCTTCTTCGGGACCTGGGGCTCTGTCTGTTTCTGGCAATGAGCATCATCATATGCTAAATAAACCACAATGCTAACATATAAGTGCTTCAGTGACCATGCGGTTGCAATTAAGGCTGCACAGTAAGACATGGGACTTGGGCCAAAGTCCACACAGTGTTTGCTAAGGTCACACCAGACAGCTCGAGGATGGCACTGATCTAGTGTCCTGAACCTGAGTCTGAGTAGTGAGTCATCTAAAACTGTATTTCAGACAGTCTGATGACAGAGTGAATGCAAAGTGAGGCTGTTTGTTACCCATTCGCTCTCGGAGAGCGTGCGTTTCTTCTTCTTAGTATCATGTTTCTTTTTCTCCTCTCCGACCAGACGCAGCGGTAGACCGAGAGACTCTGGAAGGATGTCTGGCTTCCCAGTGTCCGCAGGGAGCAGAGAAAGGTCAACAAACTCCTCCTCTTTGTCGATACTGAGGACAAGAACAGAAAGGGCCGCAGACTAAAATGACATGACGACAGTGTTGAGTCTATAAATGGCTGCGCACTGGGCAGGATTGATTCTATAAATGGCTGCGCACTGGGCAGGACCTTGTGGGAAGACACACCGTCAGCATAAATTCTTCCCCATTTGTCCAAATCAATTTCTGATATCTGGTATGATGTATGATGGCTTCTGATTCACACTACATTCAAGTGTTACAAGCCAAACAACTGCTAGTTATGATGAATCAGTGCAAGTCTGGTGACAATAAAGCCTCAGGGACTGTGACGTCATCCTGGACAACTTCTGTATGTTCATTATTACAAACTCTGAGCAGAAATGTGCTTTTTTTTTACCGGATGATCTTGGTGGTGAGCAGGGTGTTGGGAGGCAGGTGCTCAGCAAGAACCTTGTGGTTTTTAACAAAGTACATGGTGGACTGCTGAAGCTGGGCTCTCCCAGTAATACTCCGAGATAACCTGGAGAACAATTATGTGGAAAAAGGGTGAGCTCGTTTTCACTGTTATCAGTCAAATAATGACACCTTTAACAAGGTCAGATAGTGGCAAGAAAGAAATAATGAGGATACATCATGACACCAGCTGAAATAACTACGCTTCCCAGAGCAGGTTGTCCAAGTCTGGTGCCACAGAAAGAATTTTGCAGATACCTGATGAAGACCCCCTGTTCTCCCACAGATTTGACATAGCCTCTGATGAACTGGCCTGCCTGCAGCGTGTCTACAGACAAAACCTCCAGGTCCTTCACTGGCTTAGCCTGCTGTGGCGTCAGCCTGAAGGAGAAGAGTTAGAATCAGCGCAGCCTAATCAGACAGTCTGGTGTCTTAAGCTCCGACTGCGTTCATGAATCAGGCTTTAAACTATGACATTCTGTCATACCTTGATGGACGGAGAGACAACTGCCACTTGCCATTTTCACTCAGTAGGAGGAAACACCTGAGGCAAAAGAGGAGGAAACAAATTAACTTCAAGCTCATCAACTTTGATAGTAGTGCCAAACATTTCTGGAATGTAGCTGCTGATTGTTCATATTCTGCACCAGCAATTTCCCATGGCTGTATTCTGGCAGTGGAGAGTAAAACATGACAAACATAATAATAAGACTGCAACAAATCCAATAGTTTTTTGAATTGCCTGATATGGTATCAAGTGGGCTTTATAATCTTTCCAAACTGCTTGTCAGACATTTTTGGAAATTCCTTCCTCCCGCACCTTTCCAACTTTAGATTGGGGGGGGTGTCTACATCTGACCATACCTGTAACTTTCTGAAACTGGCAGTCTGACATTCACACCCACTTCCCCCTGTGTGGAGGTGAGAGACAAGCCAGGCACTGTACTCCTCTCTCTAACTCCCTTCTTTCATTGTGGCTCAACTATTCCATATCGGCAACCAAGTGCAGCGCTGTGAACGTCACGTGTGGCCGTTCAAAACAACACGGCTTATGAACTTGTTCTGAGAGGACATGTCTAACTATGCCTCGGATTATGTAAAGTACATCTACTGACCTGAGCAGCTGATCCTTGCTGTACCCATCCAAGGGGTTTGGCTTGTAGGCATCAGCCAGGTCAGTGACAGCAACGGTGCCCACGCCACCGAAGGGAAGTTTGACCTGGAGGCCAAGCTGTGGCTGAATATTAGTCACCATCCCCAAAGTCACGCTGCCTTTCTCCAGTTTATGGACACCTGGAAAACAAAAAGGAACCCAGAAATCAAGTCAACTGCTTTCTGCTTTGCATTTAATAAACAATCTTGAATGAATATGAAGGAAATGATACAGACTGTAATGTGCAAAGTTAAGCAGTAAACAGCAAAACTCGGACTGAGCCGCCCCTACCTGTGAGCGACAGCACAAAGCGGCGAGGTTTGGAGCTCACTTCCACCACTTTGGCTCGGACCGCTTGGCCCAGTTTGTACAGTTTCTCTGGGTGGCTGGCATCCTGCAAATAAGCAGTTTTTCTAGGATTTAAATCCAAGATTCATCCGGTCTTATGTTCCCTTTAGACTCGGACCATTTTAAGCACTGGTCAGACACGTGAACCTTCCAGTAAACATGAAATGCTCCCGACGCAGTGTGAACTTACTTTAGCATCAGTGATGGTGGCCAGGAGTTCGACCGTCCCAGTGATACAGGGATCAGTGGTGACCTCTAAAGACTTCCTCTCTGGATGAAACTGGAGAGAGACTACAGTGAGCAAAACTAGACCGCAGAACACCGTCCCCCAGGTCTACTGTAAGAGACTGCATTGAGCAAAACTAGACAGCAGAACACCGTCCCCCAGGTCTACTGTTAAAGGCTTTTTGGATTTGTTAACTTGTGATGAAAAATGACAATCAAAAGAAATCAGCCAGCTACAACAACCCTTAAAACCTACCTTTGATACAAAGCACATAATTTCTTCCCCAACTTTATAGCCATTTAGTTTCTCTTCTACTGAGACTGCTTTGAAATCTAAACTATTGTCCAGTTTGCTATAGAGAGAAAAAGAAACCAAAGTGAATCACAAATCAGACAAATCACAAAATGTGTGTAAAACATTTAACAGAAAACATGTACAGCCTTAACACAGCCAGTTTATATTTTCTCAAAACATTTTGAATCTCTGTCCAATATCATATTAGAACAATAGGCTGCAGACAGTGTCTCAGAGACCGTCGTGAAAATGAGAACACTGTAAATGTAAATGTACTAAATTACATTCAGGTTATCATGTATTGTATTATGTAATAACCTGTACTATATAATTACCTGGGGATAAGTGTGAGCTCAGGAATGCTGTATGTAAATTTGGGGTGGGAAAATGGCAAAAATCTGGAAAAAAAAAAAGATTAATTTAATGCAAAGTAAATAATAAATATAAAATTTACACAATCATCTTTATGCTTTCACAGGAGTTTTATAGTTAAGGATAAAATAAAAACATGCAAAAGGAACTGTCTTCTCCAGTGTGGAAAATGCAGCAGTGTTCACCTGTGACTGGAGGCTTCTCGCCCTCCGATGACCCTGGCGGTCACCACGCTGCCCACTTTCACAGAGGACGTGGGGAAGGATCCCAGACACACTTCTGCAGCATCCACCACCTCAGACACGTGCACACTGCCCGTGCTTCCGTCTTCTAGTGTGATCTGGATGCAGGTAGGTTTCACTGTCCGCACCTTCCCCTGCACGATTTTACCAAAGCAGTGACCCTTGGAGCCCGCTTGGTTCTCTGATGTGGTGCGCTGTTGTTTCTGTGCAGAAGGCTCCCACGACACTAGGGGGAGCCCTTGCAGCTCCGGACAGCTCGTTTCTATAACCTTAACTGCCAGAGTCCTCCCAGGCTTCAGCTTCTCTGACTCACCCAGGAGTATCTCATTCAGGTGGCAGCTGGTTTGGATCACAGTCAGCTGTGCAGTGTCATCCAGTGAGATGACAGCAAAGTCTGTCTCTACGTACTGCACCATCGCTGTGTATCTTGACCCTTCAGTTAACTGTGAAAATACAGTTTGACACACCTGCCATCACAATGGTTACCAATTACAAGAATATTATTGTATTGCACTGTTAACCCCTTCTGGAAATTCTACCTACGCTGATGTGAAACTGTTTTTAGAATAAAACAAGTTGGCACATAAGATTAACAAGAGTAACACTCACAGATTTCTTCTTCGCCACCAGCTTGGAAAGCAGGGAAACATGGACACAAGTAGACAAAATGTCAACATGAAGGACAACCGCAGTAACTTTCTGTCCTGAGGTCAAGTTAACACCTGAAAAACAAGCCAACAGAAAATACATAATGTGCTTATGCAAAACAAAAACATGTAATGTGTTAAAGGTGACCGTGCAGTATGCGACAAAGAACACAGGGAAACATCCCAAATGTCTCCACTGCTGCGCTGTGACATGATATTAAGATTATACTGTAAGATGAGTGAAGTTGCTTCTATAATAATGACATTCTGAATTTAAGTCTTATAAATCCATATAATACTAATATGGCATTGTACTACTGCCATCCTGAAAAAAAAAAAAGATTTGCTCAATATCTCATTATAATGAGAAAGGTTTCTCATTTTTACGCTACACTTTGGACTTTGTGTAGAACTTTGGTGTCATGAAAAAGGGGAATGTGGGGACACCACCACTATGGGATATGGAGTACTCTAGCACATGCATTCATCGCAACTGTAGAAATGATCCACTTTAGAGTGTGTGTTATCACATTAGGTCGCGCACCCATACCGACCTTCCACACAATGACCAGCTCATGAGCCACAATACCCTGCACATGTCATCTAACAAAACTGTATTTTAATAATGTACTCTAAAAGGTATACTCTTAGGATTGATATATTGGCATATTCATTTAGAATATTCTACATTGAAAACTGATTCAAAAGTATCCATCTCTATTTATACATGTAAACTTTCAGCGTGCAGTCATTTTTCTCATTTTTGATTCAGTTTGCCATGACCAGCACCTGCCTTTTAAGTGTGCATTCATGCTTGTTTCATCTCATTAAATACATACCCATGACATGATGCTTGCTGGCCTGTATGGTAGCACCGACCAAATCATCAGACTTAAATGTCACACCGATGTCCTTGGCAGCGTCCACGGTCAGCTTCAGCTTCTGACCAACAGACAGAGCAGCCAGCTGCTGACGAAGATCACTGGTATCTGAGAGTTATAGAAAAGGAAGAGTCCAGACACTGCAGGCCTTAGTTCACCTGAAGAATCAATATATCAGAAGTCTAACAACAGAGACAACACGTGCGCACCTCTCAGTGCCAGCATTTCAGCCACAGCTCTTCTCTCCTGCAGGCCATTAATGAGTCTGGTCTGGGCGTCCCCCTCTGGAGAGATGACCTCCGACATCTTCAGCGTGACAAGAAAACGGTGTTTTTCCTCATCCAGGTTTGTCACTTTAGCGATGATAGTCTGGCCCAGCTTGAAGGCGGTGGTCGTGTCACCAAGGAACTTGTCTGTCATGGCCTGGGAAGCAGAACAGAGAAAGAATTTAAGTAGGGAAAATAAAGAACCAGGTCAGAAGGTACAACACACAGAGTGCTTTACTCACCGCCTTGGGTGCAAGCCCGACCAGACCATATGGGAACTCCACAAAGACGCCATAAGACATGATGTTCTTGATCCAGCCGATCAGCTGCATTCCAACCCTGATTTCTGAGAAATCTTTGGCAACCACTCCTTCGTCCAGTGACCACCTCACTGTGGGTTTCTTGGTGAGAGTCTAAAAACGGAGCAACTAAGGAAAACGGATAACTTCTCTGCTTTTCTTATTTCTGAAATTGTAACTTTCCAATAAGCATCAAAGTTTAATATAATATATTTAATACTGTATGCAACCAATCAAAGTTTTGGGTAACTTTTCAGTCATGGAGAGAATGGATACAATATTCTGTTTGTTCTTGTTGAAACAGACAAGGTTTGAAATGTTGTCTCCCTCCTGCAGGCTCTCCCACAGCAGAGGGCAGTTGGACGTGTGATCGGAGAGGTGCACAGTGGGAAGTACGGCTCTCATCTCATCAGGGAGGATGGTAACCTCCAGATTGTTTACGGACTTTTTCAGCACTCTGGCCTCCAGCCTCTAGATCACGTACACAGAGGACATTAGAAAAAAGCTGAGGTCCAAATTTGAGCTGCTAAGAAAAAAAGAATGAGGTCTTTGACTTACCATCCCAACCTCACAGTCAAACTGGGGCTTGGTAGCTTGCTCCGTTTCTCCCTCCAGCGCAGCCTTAAAAGACAGCATCATCCTTGCCTTCTGAGGGTCACACTGAAGAACTTTAGTCTTCAACACCTGGACCATGAATGGAAACAAACTAATGTCAAATCAGAAGCTTGTTTACAATAGTTTCCTCCAACAGGTCCACGTGGAAAAAAAAAGAAAGCCAGACATGATTCTCAGCGTCCGTGTTATTTGATCTCCTCACCTGCCCGACATAGAAGACCTCCTCAGGATTGATGACGGGTTCAAAGCTGAGCTCGCCGAGTGGCACCAGACCCTTGACATCATTGTAGAAACGAACAATGCACCCAAAGTCTTTAATGCAGACAATGTAGCCGTGTGATACGCGGCCAGGATGAGCATCGGTATAGCAGAGGAACAAGGGCAGGGAGCTTTCAACCAGGGCCTTCTTTCTGGTCAGGTACAACTTCTTATTCTCAGCATCCACTGACAGCACCTGCAGCAACATATTCACACACACGGACACAGAGGAATAAGCCAAATGTCTGGAAAGCAGTGGGCTCCACAGTGGCTAGAAAACAAAGCAGAGAACTTGACTGACCCGACATTTGACCTTCATGCCCTCTGTGTACTTCTTCTCTGGGTTCTTAAGGATAATGTCAGACAGGTGGGTCCGAGGCACCAGACCTTTAATGTGGTCAGACAGATGCACCACCATCCCATGATTCAGCAGGTCTGACACTGTCCCCTTGGAGATAAAGACACATGGAAGAACACGGATGTGAAACCAACAACAGACACCAGGAAGAAGCCTATAGAAGGGAAGACTGCTGTGTGTGGAGAGGGTAGCTGGATGAACATCTGTCATGCTGCATCTTGCCTGCACACTCCACACTTATCTGAGAGGAGGAAATTTCATTTCGGCAGTGTCAAGCTTGTGGATGGCATACAGCATGATTTAAATCTTGCCACTCCTAGCTTTTAAATAGAGAGGCTGCCAGGTATAGCTTTAACAGATTTTCAAACAATTTAATCCAAGACAAGTGTATAACAGGGCACTTGAACATGAGATGATGCTTAAATCGTACCTCTACAACTTGACCAGCCTGAAGATCATGATACCTATAGAACTGCTTCTCAATCAAACTCCTGGAAACAAGACAAGAAGATTTTCTCAGTATTTCAAAATGGAATTCTGATGTTAATGCTTACTGTGCAGTAAGACACAAAAATGTGATGCCACATACCTACGCAGACTAACAAAATGAATTTGGTCCATGGGGCTGAAGTCCAGGATTCTGCAGGTGTGCTCAGGGATTGCTGCCACTCTGTTCTCATTAGCTTGCTCATTCGGCTCTTTAAGGTGGTTCCTCTGTCAAGGACATTGACCCAAACACCGAATCATCAAAATATTTACAGAAGGCATTGGTTCTTTTTAACATTCAAATAAGGTTTTAATGTTCGAAGTATCACCCAGACTCACATGTACAAAGGCCAGAGTCTTATCAGGCAGTTCCAACATGGCTCCAGACATGTGGTGCATTGTGATCATCTTGCAGTCTTTCACCACCTCACCAATGCGGTCACCGCCGGCAGGAGTTGTCTCAACTCTGGTCCTGGCTTGAACGAGGTAGCTGCGCAGACTCAAGCCCACCAGATGCGTGGACGGCTCCACATAGAGCACACAGGCTCGCACCTGGATGGACGGGTGCATGAGAGGGTTGGGACGAGTCCATAATAATGTGTAGGAGCATATGATGCAGACAGATGATATGCTTTCATCTAAGACTATTTTACCAGGGTGCATTTCAATCAAAAATATCAGCGAGACTGAAATCTGTCATCAGAAAACTGAAAATGACAACAGGTGTGATGTTGTACACACCAAAAGGATCCACATGCCAAGTAGGGCTGATCTCAATACAATTCGATTTCAATTCCATTAATTTGATTCATGATAATTATTTTACATCCATTAAATACCAATGTTGAATAGAGTGCTTCTCAGAATCACCAACATTTGTTTTTTACATTCCAGCGTTTTCCCGAGGTTTTCAGACAGCTTAGGCGCAGTCTAGGTGGAGAGGGCTGTGGTAGTTTGAAATTACACACAGGAAATTGAGCTCCTTTAGTTCTCTCTCTCTCTCTTTATTTTACCCATTAGGTTATCCTTACAAAATTTATGGATGAAGACTGGCAACACTTCTTGTACATATAGTAAAAAGTCTTTTTTGGCAGCACATAGATGATACCATATTGTGTAGTATAACTAAAGTTGAATTGTTTGGGAAGAACATGCAGCACTACATATGGTACCTATTAGGGGTGATCTATCAATCTAGATCAATATGTTAATCAAACACCCCGTGATCTGATGACACTGATGCAATACATAAGCATCTGTGTTTGTCTGTGCTTTTATTTTGACAGCTAGCCACATACGCACGCATTTCCAGTGAAGCTCGGTTCTTGTCAAATTGGTGCAGCTAGCATTCTGAGACTGGGAAGTCACTCTAAAAGTGGCACAGGGGCAGTGCACAAGCTATTGAAGCGTTAGATCCACTGAGTCCACATCGACTCCAACTTCCTGTCCACAGACCAGCTGTTCATCTGTCAGCAGGACAGTGACCAGACAAACGGACTGCACTTTGTTAAACGCACTAGAGAGAAGAAACCTGAAGCGTAAAAAAACCGGGGGAGTCCAGGGGTGACGTGTCTCACACGCATGTCTCAGAGTTAGTGTGGGCTGCCACATTTCATAGATTGGAGTTTTATCGGCTGCATGACAGAAGTGAGTGAGAAAAAGCCTTCTATGAGAATTGGCCCCGACCTGTAGCAGCAAATACACAAAGTAAACTCTCCCATCAGAAACTAGTCACGGGCAAAAGGAGACACACAACAATATGTTTGAATGTTATGGTTTTAAACAAAACTCCCACTGCAATGTGGGAGTTTTGTTTGGAGGAATAGGGTGTGAGAGCTGGATTTGGCCTGCCTGCAGCCCCGACCTGTCCCCAGTAGAGAATATGTGGCACTTTTTGAAATGCAAATTGCGTCAAGGATGACCCAGGAAGAATGGGACAAAATGACACCTGACACACTTAATGACTTTGTGTCCTCAGTCCTTAAATGTCTAAAGAGTTGTGAAAAGGAACAGCAACATCACACCGTGGTAAATACTTTACTGTCCCAACTTTTTTTGGAACGTGCTGCAGCAGAATTGAGTGTGTTTATTTTGAACAAAGAATAAAATTGATGAGGTGTCACATCAAATAATGTCCTGTTGTGTTATGATTTATAACTCACCACACAGATGATTTATAAATCACTAACTTCAGTTCTAATTTTGGTTTTAGAATACCTTTCCAACTTTATCTGATTTGGGACTGTATTTAAATAGCACCTGAAAGTGAACAGAGGAGCTCAATAATTTTTAAAGTTATACTTAAATTTAATTAAATTTTAGTTGCACTCAGTAAGTGAGCAACACTGTTGTGGCCCAAGGATTTATTTTCCTTGGCAAATGCAAAACTACTTAAATACAATACATATATATTTATTTCGTACAGAAGGACTAACAAAAAAAAAAAATCTGAAACACTAACAAGGGTTTAAAAATTAAAATAAACCTTTTGTGTACATTGCAACTCAAGAAGACATTTTACACACCAAGCAGCTCAAACTGAGACACTTATAACAAGTAATCTAAATGTAACATTTGGTGCAAATGCACTTGTTTACTGAGAAAATGTGCAAATGAAAATATCGATATCTGAAGTCCAAGAATCAATTTTTCTCTCCAGAACAGTCAGTTTTACCTTGGTTCCCTCGGTGTAGCTGGATGTCTGATTAGGCTCCATGTGGAGGAAGTCCACCTGGCCACTAAAGGAGGACAGGAAGTCCAAAACCAGACCATGTTTGGTCACCTGCAATACAGAATTGATTGAAATTAAACTATAATAGTGAATATACTGACAAAGGAACAGGAGCAGATCATTCACTGGACAAGAATAAAAAATTAAAAAGACTTTAAATTAATCTTTAGCCTAAATTTGGACTGATGATGAATTCTCATTATATTAATAAAACAGAATAAATGCCAGTGTATAAGTTGTCTCCACCTTTTTGATGGTGGCTCTGACCAGAAGACCAGGCAGAAGGTTAGTGAGGTTCCAGCCCTGCCCAGATTCAGCACAGGCCTGGGCGATGGTCAGAGGGTTGACAGAAAGCTGGATCACACGCCCATCGCTCTTTATTGCTTCAACCTGAGACGTCACATACTGGCCCACTTTCAGCTCTGCAGAGATGGCAGCACAGAAACAGGACATGTATAGTAAATGCCTGATTCGCCTTGAGTGAATTTCCTCAGTGAATGACAATGAATCTACAATATTCTGTCACACCGTCCATGACGTTGTGTTTGTCTTTTATTGCTTTCTTAGGCAGGAAGGCTTTGGATCCATTGATGCCAATGTCGATTATGCAGCCGTGATCTTCGACACTCTCCACACATCCACTCAGGACCTAAATTGACAGTTACATTTCAATACATTTTACTTTAAAAAAAAAAAAAAAAACAACAAAAAAACCTCAAGCTGCTTAACTCGTTATTCTAATTAATGACTCACCATGCCAGCCTTCAGAGAGCTGGAGGTGAGAGCCTTGTTGACCAGCTTTGGATTAACAGACAGCTGGATGCTGATTGAGCCTCCTTTAGTTATGTCCAACTTAACAACCACACACCTTAAAACCATGCCAGGACAGAAGAGGTGTGTCAGAGAGCAGATCTCCTGTAAAGTAAAAGTATGACACCCCAGATGTTAAAAATAGATTACAAAAGATCCTGAAATGTAAGTAAGACAATCATGGATCGTGTAGAAAAAAAGATCTATTACTGTTCTCTATAGCAAGGTTTATTAACACCACTCTGCAGTATATTCCACAGGCTCACCACTGTATCAGCAGAATCCAGCTGCTCAACGAGCAGCTTGGTGTACGAGTCGCTGATGTTCTTGATGCCGAGGAAGCCTTGCAGGCCACAAGGCAGGCTGACTGTCACCTCAAAATCTCTCACCTCCTTCACACAACCCAGCATCAGCATACCCTCCTTCACATTCTGGGGGGGGGGGAAAAAAAAAAACACAATATCAAGTCAAATACTGTGCTGAATATTCATTTGATTCACAGCAGTGTCATGCTAAAAGCTGTTTCACTGAAAAACGAATATACTTAACCTATTCAACAAATTTAATGACATTATATTGACTGGATTGTATTTCCAAATATATTACCTTCATATGTAGGATTTCTACACACTTGGCATCTTCTTTTTCTTTACTCGTCTTTTGCTTCTTGAGTTTCTTGCTGTTATCTTTGGCTGCCCCCTTTCTCTTCTTAGTTTCTGCTTCTTCATTTGACTGCAAGAGAAAAGCAAAGTATTGTTAACTACACAAGACATTTTATTGATACAGTCTAGTGTGAGATTAAGCATACAATGTTTGAAAGGAAAGGGAATATTAAATTAATAGTAAAGGGATATTCAGAACAGCTGTCTTCCCCTTAAGTAACATATTTATGTGAATTTGGATACTGTGAAATAATAACCCTCTTTCTGGGAACAGTCACATACTGTAACTTATACCCACTTCTCATTTGCCAGAAAAAGAAAAGATATGTATATCTTGAATACTACCTGGAACAGGTTGTCCACTTCTGGACGCTGCACCACTATCTTACTCTCAGTGGGTTTCTTTGCTGTCCCTCCTCGAGGGAAGTCCTCCTCCACTGATGCCATGTTTGATGTTGGTTCAGGAGTCTGAGAAACCGTCAAAAAACAGCTCATCTCAAAATCTTTAAACTTCTGATTGTATAAATATTGAGGCACACCACAGCTGAAATAGTGAATATAGACAGGCATACGACCCAGTCTGATTTTCCTTTTGTAAGGTCAGCAGAAACGACTACACTCATGATTACATGCAAACGTTATCGGTGAGAGTCTCAAATGTAAGTTATAAACAATGCCTACGTGAAAGGCACAAACTGGGGCTCGTTTATTGTTTAACCACATACTTTTTGATTACACAAATACAAATATGTCTAACGTTATTAAAGCACTCGCAAAAGCAGAACCAGTAGTATTTCTGCCACCCATTAGGTTACCAGTGCAAACAGGCATGAGACAATCGTTAGCAAAGTTTAACATATTTTAGGATCAGTGCTAAATGTGTAGCCAGTTTTGCCAGTCTATTCAATCCAACAAAAGCTCGTCTTATATTTAAAGTAATTATAAAACACGCCCCTACTGATTATCATGAAATACATCCTTATTTTAAATCTCCGAATTTTGGATATCCAAACTCACATGTAGTTCAGCAACACGCCATGATTGCAACCCGGAAATAAAAGTTATATAAGAAGTCCAATCACGCAGAAGGGGGAATGATTGGCACTATCTTCAGCCATTCAGTAATTGCTCTGGCTTGAGTGACATTATTTTAGACCAATAGTGATACACTTTTGGATTGCCGAGAGGAGGAATTTCCTAGTGACTTTAGCTTTGTGGTCTCTGCTGAAGGGCAACTGGTTCGTTGCGTTTGTACAAGGGTTGCGTGCTCAAAGTAAGTTATAAAACATTTACAAATACATTTGTGCATTTTAACACTTCTTAGTGCCTATGATATTTGTGACATTCTTCTGTAGTTATGTACTATTTAGCTCACGACCTAAAAATAAATCGAGCTAGCTAGTCGGCTAACCTAGCAAGCTAACGTTAACCTGCAATAGAAAGTGCTAACAATCAGTTTTTACCGGCTCTTAATAACCACAACGTTATTCAACTGAAGTGGGTTAGCCGGTCACTGATAAATATTATAATGGAGTGTTCCTCGAAAACTTGTTGTTGGCATCATGACATATTGTAATAATAACAAACCACTGTAGTTTTAAAAAGTTGTTTTGCCCATTGATAGAACATGATCACTACAGAATTTTCTGTCAATTGATGAATCATTACAGGTCCAAATGATTTTGTCGTACATACTCTTCCCAACGTTAACAATAAACGTGCTCATGTGCTATAATATTCATCACTCATTCGTGTTTATTCTCCTTGTAGCAGTACCAGTAACTCGCTATCATGGCAGGACATGACCACGGATCCCAGCACCAGTTCACTGGGTTTGCAAAGTACTTCAATTCATACACAATCATAGGAAGGAGAAATGTGAGTTCTGTACATCTCTATTATAAAATGCATTTCACATTTGACAATGTGTTAAACAACCCTAAAGTTACTTTGATACCACTTTGACTATCTCATTTTTTTTCTTTTTAGTATGTTTTGGCCACATATGGCAGCATACTAGCCCTTGTCCTTTTTTTCAAATTGAAGCCTAAGAAAATGCCTGTCACAGAAAAGTGATCATGTAAGTACAAAGGATATGAAAGTACTAGTATGAAAAGACTTTTAATGTACTTAATACAAAGTATTGCTCTGTTGCAGTCAGTCAAGACCCATGTTGTCTCCTTACAGGTGTGCGTTTTGGTCATCACTTTGAACAGCTGAAAGTGGAGCGAGCAGCTGGATTTGCTTGTAATAAAATCACTCTGGTTTACATATTAACAATAAAGAATATGTACACCCAACATAGAAAAGTATTTGTTTTATTTACAGTGTGCACCAGTATAATAGAGTGATCATTACAACATCATCCTGGTGTTGAATAAAGATGTACTCATGGCAGTGGTTTTCAGAAACAGTCCTCCATCACCAATGTCACTGTTCTCAGGCAAAGAAATAATGGAGCCTGGAATCTTTCAGACTGAGGGCCGTGACAGGAGAGGGCTGACCTGATCTCTGTCCTCATTCACAGCCAGAAGTCAACCAATACAGTTTTTCCTCATAATTCAGTAATGACTTATGGATTGTAGGCCCCGGCGGACAGAAGCAGGTTCCTCCGGGTGAAGTGAAGGTGTATGACAGGTGTGGATTTCGTCATGTAGGTGCCCAGCAGAAGCTCCTGGGAGTTATCCTGTAGATTAATGTGACCCGTAGCTGCCGTGAAGTCATCAGTCTCTAAATCATCAAACGCTTTCATTGCATCCCACAGACGAACTGTGTTGTCCATTGAGCCTAGGAAAAAAAACAACACAGTACTCTGAATGTTGGTTCGCTATATGGAAGTATGGTCAGCTCTAACTGCAGAGCATAAATGACAACTACAGAGCTTTGTAGTTATGCACATCTCTAATTTTGATCACTTCAGATAAAAAGTAGTGAAATGTTGTGAAATACTAACCGGAGGCAATGGTATCTGTGTGACCTTTGAGCTCTCCAACCATCAGTCCATGACCAATGTCCCAGAGAAGAACTCTACCATCGGTGGCTCCTGAAGCCAAGAATTTTCCATTGGGAGAGAAAGCCAGCGCATGGATAGGACCCTGGGAGATAAAAGACTGGCTCAGTAGTTGTCTGCAGTGGCCAATTCTGTGTATACTTAAGTGAATCTTTAGCATCTTTTAACTGTGAGTAACCACAGTCACATAGCATCCATCAGTAACAAACAAGGAGTTGATCAAACAAATAATGACCCAAGAGTCAGGGTGCCTCCTTTCTTTCACTGGTAAAACAGCTTGTGCCATGCTATAAGAAACGTGAAGCGCAGATGTAGTCACGTAATAAACACTGATTACATACAGTGAGGAGAGACTTGGCCTAAACAACATGGCAGACGCTAACATTAATCACTGACAACCTTTGTGACAGACAGAACGGGAGGCCAAAGAACAGAGACCTGCTCTGGTGACAACTTGTCTGACCTTATGACCGGTGAATATTCTGACACAGTTTCCGTTCAGGACGTCCCAGAGGCGGATGGTGCGGTCAGAAGACCCTGTGGCCACATAATTAGAGTTGGGGTGGAAACGGGTGCAAGTAATGTCAGCTAGGTGACCAGAAAATATCCGTAGAGGCTGGTAGTGATCTGTCGCCCACAGACTGTTGTAGACAGCACAACACAGGTCAGTGACAAACAGCTGTAAAGCAATCCTGCACATCTAGGATGTTTTTCTCAAGCAAGTTTGACAGTTTCTTACCGGGCAACTCTGTCATGTCCACCAGAGACAAAATAGTACCCATGGGGAGAAAACTGGGTGTCCCACACCGGGTAGTTGTGACCTTTGTAGCCCACTAAACATGTAAATGTTTGGAGACTCCACAGCCTGACTGTACCATCTTCAGAACTTGACAAGAGGTAGTTTCTGAAAGGCAAAATAGGCAGCAATTACCTTTAAAGAACAACTTATGTGGATCTGGTTTCCCTTTTTTCTATTCTACATTCTAACATTTTCACAGCATTTTGGTGTCTTCAGTTTAAAACCACATTTATGTTTAAACCAGTGATGAAATTTCTGTAGAAGGCATGGTTTATGTAACACGTGTACCTCAGAATTGGTCTACCTGTCGGGGCTAAAGCTGATTCCATACACCGGGCCGCTGTGTCCGTAGAGAATCTTTGACTCGCTGGCCGTCTTCTCATCCATGATCCTCTCCAGCACATCATCTGACTCTTTGTCAATCAGATTCAAGTCTTAGGAGAAAATGGGAAGGGCAAGAGGAAGACAATGAAAAGTTTTAAATAGATTATTTTTTAACAATGAAAGAAGTTAAAATACCTCCATCCACTGTCATATTCAATACCTGCTGCCGACTTGACCTTGCGGAGTTTTTTCGGTGTGACACTCCACACCCGCACCGTGGAGTCAGCAAAGCCTCCTGCAATCAAGCTGGAGTCATCTGTGAAGTCCACTGCAGTCAGACCCTGCAGGGCAAAATGCAGTTAACCTGTCAGTGTGTAGCAGTCATTTAAATGTGGAAACGACAAACACCAAGTCAATTATTGTGTTCGTGCCATTCTACCTGGTATGCATTGAGAAAAGTGTAGAAGCAGATAGAGGGGAGGGTGTCTGGTCCCAGGCGAATCTTCTTGGTGGCCTCCTTCATGTACATGATCTTGTCCAGCTTGTCTGAATCCTTAAGTTCTGGCAGAGGTATCCTAAACAATGGAGTACAAAATGTGGGAAATACTCACAAATAAGTATCTAAAATATCCCTGTAGTCTCTTTTAAACACTGCCACATGTACATACAGTTGCTAGAAAAAGTAATGGCACTGTTTGCAAATTCCTGGTTTTCTGCAGAAATTGGTCATGAAATGTGATCTTCACCAAGGTCACAAATATCAACAAACAATATTTCTAAGCTTATAAAACACAAACAATCATGGTCTTTATGCCTTTATTGAACATACCCATTAAGGTCAGATCACATTTCATGTCCAATTTATGCAGAAAACCAGGAATGTACTTGCAGTTTTGGTGAGTAAAAGACCATAAATTGTGGAGATGATGGCTGAATTAGGCTTCTAACATGACTAGAGTGATGAATATTACCTCAGACAGCTTTTACAGCATCATACTGTTTTGGCCTTACAAACCAGCAGTACCAAGGCAGAGTTACACAGTATAAGTGCAGTGTAAAAACACCTACCTATTCTGTGAGGGTGCATTAGGATCCTGCTTCTTGCTCTTGGAACCCATACTATCCTTTTTGGGTTTCTTCTTCTTGGGTTTACCCTCTTCATTCTCTGCTTCCTCGTCCTCATCGTCCAGAGGTAGCTCAATTTCCGGTTCCTTCAGCAATCCATAGTAAACCTACAATAGTTTGTCATGAATTCAACAAGGCTGTTTAAAAGTGTGGCGAGACCGTGAAAACGCACATTTTATTACATGCACACTGGTATATAAAGCACACCTTCGTCTTAGTGGCCTCTCGCCTGGCCTCTCCTGCCAAACTGCCAGACGTGGCATCAATCTGGTTCTTGCTGCGTGGCATGCCATCAAAAATGTCAATGTAGAGGTGTTCCTGGATGATATTCCAGATCTGGTTGTTTTGACGCTCCTGCAGGTGCCTCTTCAGCAGCTGGTAAGAGTCACGGGAGATACGCAGGACAAACTTGCTGGTGCGGAAGTCCAGCAGGGTTTCGTTGCCCTTCATGTGCTCTTTCTTGGTCAGGCTAGACAGGACACGCAAGTCATCTTCATAATAGCACTCCTGATCTCCACTAAACCTGAGACGGAAAGAAACAAAGGAATACAGTTAAGAAGATGTGTTAAAAGTAAACCATGTTTTTTTTATTTGGAGAAGCACAGTGTAACAGATTAGGGTGACTCACTTCCCAAAAAAAGCCTTAGCCTCATTTTCATGATTGTTGTACACCAGCTCCAGATACATGTGGACAAACAGAGGGTAGAAGACCTGGGACAGTTCAGCTCTGTGACAGTCCAAAACCGTTTCTATGAACTTCTTCAGGCTGCTGTAGTAGACCTCATACAAAGCCGGGTCCCCCTGCTGACTGTAAGCTGACAGCACCACGTTGACGTCTGGCTGATCACCGCCAGCTGCAGAAAGAGAAAGCCCAAGGGCAATGCCCAGTTACACCAGTATAACTATGGCTTTAGCCAATTACAGAATACAACAATATCATATTCATCAAAACATTTTTTAAAGAAAAATCACATGAGATGTAAATACAGAGCTAGGCTTGTAAGTGGCATCATTTGTCAAAAAATGTTATTTTAAGTCAGGCATGTATGAAAACCATTTTTGGGTGACTTTATTTGCAAATGCACTTAAACAGAACGCTAATATTATTGGGAAAATCGAGGTTAAATCACCACTATTCATCAAAGAGCGTTATCAGGGTATCCCTAAAGCCAAAGGAAAATGAGTACATGCATAAGAAGCTGTACACTCATTGGCTATAAACACAAAACCACTATAATGGACCCAAGCACCCCTAGAATACACACTAACTTTGTGGAACTGTTTAAACCTTAACCTGGTGCTCAGAGAGGAGCTAGACCAACATATGACAGCCTGCGGTCTGGTCCCAACTGAGACTGCTGTCAAATCAGCCGCCGTTCAGTTTTCCGTGATCAAGCCAGCCGCGCTAGAATTTGACGTGCGCCTATATACTCTATATACTTACATTTACGGTAAAGGTATTGAAACGGGCCAAAGCTTGCGATTTTCAAAATAAAATACCTTAACTCCAATGCTGTATTATTTATGAACTTTCAAGTTTAATAAAAACACTTTTTTAAATATTTACAGCATAAGGACATCACTTATGGATTCTACATGACCCGCACTGTTACCACACAAAGAATCAAGCATTTCCACTGTATCATTCTGGAGAAAACTCACATTCCATGTGCAAGATTTGAAATCCAATACCGGATTTAGCAGGCGCTTGAGAAGGTGCCGTGGACACAGAAGCTGTGTGAGAGGTGGAAAAGGGAGGGGAGTGGTCGCGGATGCAGGTGAAGAGTTCGCCTCTCCCAAATGGAGTGGACGAAGGGAGGGTTGGCCCACTTAGTAAACTATTAAGTTAGTGACACCTTGACTTTCTTCCAAACAATGCACATTTCATTCATAATATTAAAAACACACACCTAACATTTGCAATTTTTTGATTTTCCCAAATTGTGTGAAATTGTTAATAGAAAAAGTATTTTTATTAAACTTGGAAGTTCATAATTAATACAGCATTGGAATCACATCTTTAATGCGAGTTTTCTCCAGAATGGTACAGTAGAAATGCTTGATTCTTTGTGTGGTAACAGTGTGGGTCATGTAGAATCTATAAATGATGTCCTTATGCTGTATATATTAGAAAAAGTATTTTTATTAAACTTGGAAGTTCATAAATAATACAGCATTGGAGTTAAGGTATTTTATTTTGAAAATCGCGAGCTTTGGCCCGTTTCAATACCTTTACCGTAAATGTAAGTATATAGAGTATATAGGCGCACTTCAAATTCTAGCGCGGCTGGCTTGACCACGGAAAACTGAACGGCGGCTGATTTGACCGCAGTCAACTGAGGCTCTGTATCTCCACTGTCCTAATGGCTGGATGAAATACTTGTCCTAAATTTGTACGCAGTGTCATTTTATCAGGAAACATTTTTCGTAAACCGTGTAACAGTTTTTTCCACACCTAAACACAACATTAGTCAGGTTCTGTATCGTACCTTTGGCTGGCGCTGGGGCTCCGGCGGAGGTTGAACCGGTCACACGGCTGAGCAGAGAGCTAGTATCCACGCCTTCTACATCCACACTGGCGGCAGCATCTGTTGCGCCTGTCCCGGAGGAGTCGGCCCCTTTCAGATCCTGTGACTCCTCCGGCAACCCCGCTTCACGACGCAAGATTTCGACGGACTCGGTCAGATTGTTCTTTTTCAGGAACTGCAGGACCGCCAGCAGCGTCTGCTGGTCCTCCGGGGCTCCCGCCGTTGCTTTGTTACTTCCAGCCGAAGCAGCGGGAGACGCAGAAAGCAGTCTTCCATCATTTGCATTATTATTTCCACTGACTTCGTTTGATGGCTCTGTTTTGATCTCTTTTTCTTCTTTCGCGTCGACCACACCACCTTGTATGGCCGCCATTTTCAAAATGAAATGCGCATGTGCAAGATGTGAAAAAAGAAAAAAGAAACAATGAGAGATTGCGTCACCTGATTGGTGCTTACAAAGTAGCATCATGCAGGGAGCGCAGAAGCCCCGCCTCCCTCTGCTCATATATGTTTTTTCCGAACCTTTATTTGAAACACAGTAACATCACAAAAAAGAATCAGAATCTGCTTTATTGGCTAGGTGTGTCGGACACACGAAGTTTTTGACTCTGGTACATCGGCTCTCAATGTGTATGTACATATCGCCATACAAGGGGCAAGTAAACAGTAAACCAATATAAGGCTGTGTAATAAAAGAAAATAAGCAGTATTAACAAAAGGGAGCATTACAAATTACAAATGTAAATAACAAGCTTGCAGAAGTTAAAAAAACCCATTTATTGGAATATTTAATTTAACAATACCTTCAGTAATGCTTCTCAAAATATGAGATGTCCATAAACCTTTCTTGTTCTTATAAATTCTACAGATAGAATCACAAAAAAGATTGAAGTTCTATATAGAAGAGGGATTGGTTTGGACAAAGCTGAAGAAATATGGCTTTATGGATGTGATGTTTGCCCAAGAGGCACAGCAATTTTATTGAATTATTAATTTCTTTGTTGTAAGACTCTACATTCAAAAATAAGACAATTCTCTCTGTCATTGGGATCAAGATCTTATGACTCTGCCAGAGTAATAAGGAAATTTGGAACTAAAAGTTATTTGAGTAAGTGCAGGAGTAAAATAAAAAAGATAAGGACTCCGGTTCCATTTTGCTAAAGGAGCATAGAGAAGAAGCATCTGGTTTAAAGTGGTGTATAAATTCATTGAAGCAATAATATCAGTGTAAAATCTTAATATGAATTTCTTTAATCTTATTAGCAACAAAAATTTTGTTCAATTCAGTCCAAATATTCTTGTTGACTGTGACAGACTGGTAACCTGTCCAGGGTGTACCCCAGCTCTTGCCCAGTGTCAGCTGGGATTAATTCCAGCCCCCCGTGACCCTATTCAAGAATAAGTGGTATAGATAATGAATGGATGGATGGATGGATATTCTTGTTGCTGTCAGGAAACATCACTTTCCATCTGTAAAAAGAATTTGGATCTTAGCTCTAAGCAGAGGTTAGTACATTTCTAATATGAAAACTATTACAGCGACGTTTCTCAAGACCTTTTCCACCAAGTTTTAGACTAGTATTCATAAGAAAGGCTCATGTGATTGAGACACTTTAATAAGAAACAGTAGTTTAGGGGATATACATTTAGACACTTGGGGGTATTGATTTATTAATTTATGAATACTGTGACTTATCTAAACAACTGTAGACATTTTTTTTTTCTGCTTCCAATCTCAAGGACAGCTGACCTGTGATTTTCAATGGAGCTCTACTGAAACAATGGGGAAAACAACACTGTGGGATATGGAGAGAAGGAGAACGAACTGAAGTTTGGATCCGGAAACAGAATGTTACGTCACCACTTACCAAGTCTGTTTGTTATTGTATACCGTCCACCTGCTCCTTATTCAGAGGTTTTAAGTGAATTCTCAGACTTTCTGTCTGATTTAGTGCTTAGTACAGATAAAATAATCATAGTAGGCGACTTTAATATTCATGTAGATGCCGACAATGACAGCCTCAACAATGCATTCTGTTCATTATTAGACTCAGTTGGCTTCTCTCAAACTGTAAATAAACCCACTCACTGTTTTAATCACACTCTTGATCTTGTTCTGACATATGGCATCGAAACTGAACACTTAATAGTTTTTCCCCATAACCCTCTTCTGTCTGACCATTTTCTAATAACTTTTGAATTTCCATTAATGGATTATACTCTATGTGGGAAACAATTCCACTACAGCAGATGTCCATCTGGCAATGCTGTTACCAAGTTTAAGGAAATAATTCAATCTTTATCTACTTCAGTGCCGTTTGCCAACACAGTGGAAGGAGGCCACCTTAACTTTACTCCCACACAAATCGATAATCTTGTTGATAGTACTGCAGCCTTCCTGCGTAATACACTTGATACCATTGCCCCTCTGAAAAAGAAGGTAGTGAAACAGAGGAGGCTAGCCCCGTGGTACAGCTCGCAGCTCCGCTCCCTAAAGCAGGCATCACAAAAAATGGAAAGGAGGTGGCGCTCCACTAAGTCAGAAGAGTTTTTCATAGCCTGGAAAGATAGTTTAATAACATATAAGAAAGCCCTTCATAGTGCCAGAACCACATTTTATTCATCACTGATTGAGGAAAATAAGAACAACCCCAGGTTTCTTTTCAGCACTGTAGCCAGGCTGACAAAGAGCCACAGTGCTGTTGAGCTTAACATTCCCTTAGATCTCAGCAGCAATGACTTCATGAGCTTCTTTACAAATAAAATCACAACTATTAGAGAAAAAATGGGTCGAACCACTCCCACAGCTCTCGCAGATGTGCCATCTACTACAATGGCTTTAGAAACATCTGTAAGACCTCATTTATACTTAGACTGCTTCTCTCCAATAGATCTCTCTGAGTTGACCTCAACAATTGCTTCATCTAAATCATCAACATGTCTCCTGGACAGACCAGGCTGCTCAAAGACGTCTTTCCCCTAATCAACACATCCATACTAGATCTGATTAACCTCTCTCTATTAACAAGTTATGTTCCACAGGCTTTTAAACTTGCAGTAATTAAACCTCTACTCAAAAAGCCTACTCTTGACCCAGGTGCCCTAGCTAATTATAGACCAATATCCAATCTCCCATTTATTTCCAAAATCCTTGAAAAAGCTGTTGCAAAGCAGTTATGTGACCACTTGCACAAGAATGATTTGTTTGAGGATTTTCAGTCAGGATTTAGAGTCCATCATAGTACAGAAACCGCATTGGTGAAAGTCACCAATGAAATGTCCACACAAGAAAGGTGTTCCATCAGGGGTTGGTTCGCACAAGTATATAAAGACAAACACACACGCACACACCACATGTCAGGAATCGGCGCGTTATGCTGCCAAAAATGTTGAGGGTGAACTCAATTAAAAGGCCAGACAAGGAAATGTAAAACAAAACCGTCTCTTTAATAAGAGAACTAACGCTAAACAAAACCATACAAGACACGGTGAAACACAAAAATCACAGGTCGGTATAAACAGTCCGAGATCAGAGCCAGCAAACACATACAGCAGAGGAATCCAAATACGTAGTCCAAAGGGAAGTCCGATAATTATACACAGTGACAGTCTGAAGCAAGAGGGCAAGGCAGAACAGAATAGTCAGAGGAACAAGCCGGGTCAAAAACACAAAGTACCAAAACCGAAAAATGCTGGAGAGTGAGAGGTGGCGTCTAGAACAATCTGGCTGGGATTGGTGGGTGAAGGCTGCTTATGATGCGGTGCAAACTATAATGAGCAGGTGAAACTAATGCGGGTGATGAAGAAAGTAAAAAGACCAAAACTGTGGTGAAACAAAACAGGACGTAGCATCAAAATAAAAGCCTGACAGGAAGCAACACAGAACCGAATCATGACACCACACACACACACACACACACACACACACACACACACACACACACACACACACACACACACCACACACACACAC